TGATATAGGATAGAAAGAGAAGATCATGATAGGAAAACGAATCTGCGGAGCACTGGCCATGTTTAGCCACGTGCTCTACAGAGGATACAAGGATGAGGTCTAAGAGAGATGAATTACGGTTGGGCAAATTGTGTGTAGGATTAAGTGAAAGAATCGAAAGATTGCTGGATTTAATAACAGATCGAAGGGTGGCAGAACGAGAATCGTTTTTCAATAAACAGGTGTTAAAGTCACCCATGACTATAGTAAATCCTTGCCATGAGAGTACACGATAGTTGGCATTGTTCCTGTGAAGGTTGTTGTTCTTGGTCAGCCAGTCGAGATCGTTAAAACACGTGCGGAGCGACGACGCATAACCGAACATGTGCACCATCGTTTAGTCGCGATGATTTATGGCACAAGCTGCGCCCTAACCGTTAGAGACAGTTATGTTAAAGTAATTTTGTTGATAAAACCTTTTTTTATTTGGAATTGTCTTTTTGTCATTTGTGGGCAGCGCTCAGAGCGTGCTTATTATATTTGATCAAAAAAATATTCAGTGGGAAATCTGTTCTTTTCAATTAACATATTTTTCTTATAATACTTCAAAGGAATTAGGTGTAAGTAACAAATTGTAAAGACTTTCTTAATGTAATTATTTTTGCATGTATAAAATTTGAAGCTGCATTTATTTAATGGCAGTGCTTTTAAAATGTAAGACGACCAAGAACTGGCCACGGCCTGTTTTATGGGAAGATGCATTATATCAACCAAGATTTAATTACCTACAATAAATTTTAAAGTTAGAAACGTTATCCGTTTAATTAGCCAATATTAATAATGAGTTTTAATAAAAGCGTTGTCTGGGGTGGAAATAGTCTAGATGCATATTATTATAAATCGCAAAACGTACTTATAAAATAAAACTTTAAAAACTTATCTTTAAAAATAATACAATTCTATGTGTAGGTTAGAAAATAGTACAAAGTATACATTTAATGGACGTCCTTTCATATTTTACAAAGCAAACATGACTAAGGCTCCTTAAATTAATTGTTGTGGGAGGAAATCAGGCTTGACAAAGAAGGGGTCCAGCAAATCCAGGTCAAATCAATACTGCATTGAATAGCTGTACTCTAAACAAACCTCAATAACGTACCATTTATAGTATATTATGTTTTTGCTAGCAGTAGCGTCACCAAAACTCCGTGAAAAGGGATGAAAGGGTTTGGCATTCGCGAGTGGCGAGTGTCAAGGAGTTTCAAATTGCTTGCTGCGTACTTTATAGACAAAAAAAGTTTTTTTCTTTCTCTTTTAAGAATTTGCTTCAACGGTTAGTTGTTGTTATATTAAACTAAATACCTATCGTCTATTTAACCGTGAGAGATCCATGCTTTGGCACATATGGGTAGGCTCAACCGGAGTGATACCACGGCTTCACAGAAAACCCGTGTTACTAGTAAGCTATTCTTTCGTTATTTTTCACCGAGTGAGTGAGGTTACCGGAGGCCAAGCCCTTCTCCCTCTGACTGTAGAGGTAGGATCTCAGAGGGCGCAACGCACTTGTGACTCTCGAGTTCTAGATGTGACCCGTCTGCTCATTTCCCTCGCTATGTTATAAAAAAGCAGACTAGCAGACGCAGTGGGCTAAAGGCGTTTTCATTAGACTGAATAAAATATTTTTTATTAAAAGATTTAAAAGGAAGTTTGAAAAAACAATGTTTATACCAGTAAACATGTTTATTAAACAAAATTAAGGAGAAAATAGGCTTCAAAACTCCACCTGAAATTAGAAGTTATGTTTTCCCTTTCGTTATAAAATAACGTAAGTATATAACACCTACATTATTTTCTATGAACATTTTGCTCTAACACCTAAAATATTTGGCTTTATTAAATATTCTTTGGAGGCAGTTTGCTCGCGCACATCTGTGGCTCACCTATCTCGCTGACACGGTATCTTTTGATGACACAAACGAGCCATACCATGGGTGAATGTAAAAGGGCGAAAGCCACGTACTGACTAGGCAAACAATTTGCTAGCTGATCGTATTCGTCAGCCTTGTTGAGGAACTTTAGCATTAAATTTCCATTAAATAGAACTGAATTTTATTTTTTCTTGATTATATACGTCAGGTCGTGGTAACGGTCCCACCTTTCGTCTATATGATTAAAAAAAAGTTTTTTTTGTTATATTTTATAGGCGTATAAATTTAACTTGAGAAAAGCAAAGCACTCACTTACTGCATTTATTGAATTTTATGTACTTTTAAGTCCTAAATCAGGAAAAGCCTTGACTGGTAACTGGACTACTAATAAACGTATTTATATTTAGGGAAATGATATACATACACAGAACACATAATTGTGCTTCTCATACTTTCGTGTAAAGTGTTTTGCAGTCTTTCATGTAACACGTTATGTATTTAAACTACATGAGTCTTTACCTTATCGTGAGGTTTTTAAGTTACTAAAGCCATTCATAAAACGCAACTTTTTATTTGTCAAGTGCGTCTATTACCCTTATTGCAGGTATAAAGTCGTTGTTGAAATTTTTTATACACACTGATGTTTTTAATCAGTAGAGATGGTTGATATTCACTACGAGCGGGCGGTGTAAAGCGCCCTGTACTCAGGCAGGGAGTAGAGTTGGTTGTCGGGGTGGAGGGCAGTTTGTATGCAAATGGTGAATGATTGGCGGTGGCGGCGATATTGAGCGCGGCCTTCTGCCAAGGTACGGCACGTTTTACTGCTCGCTCATAAGACGCTGACGGCAATTCGCTTCGCTGAACACGTGGGCCCGATTGCCTTGATAATAACGCACACATAGAAATGCTCTCAGTGGTGTATTCTCGGGGTTGTCTTTCGAAAAAGCTTAACTTTTACAACGAAAAATATAAAGGTTTCGGCCGGGGTTCACACGTATAAAATATAAATTGTATACGGAACTTGAGTCGTAAAATATTCTACTGTAGGTTAGGAAAAGAGTTTGTTATCAGACAAGTTGGTTATCAAGCTATGCTCATTATTTACCGAGCTCATAATCACTACGAAACTCTTTCTCAATGTCATGCCTGTTCAATATAAATTCTCGTCATCCTTAACAGAACAGAAGGAGTAGCATCAATAACTGACCCATTTCTGAACATCTTATTACCAGAGGAGGCTGCCACTGACTCCATATATGTATACACGTTTATGTAATAATTCATCCATCTCGGGAATCGATCCTCTAAGATTTTTGCCCGTTTTACTATATCCACTCTATGTTCCTATTCCACTATATGTTTTTATCTAATAACGAATATTTACGTTGTACGTAAATATTCGTCATAAAGTACATTCGTTTCTAAGTACAAAATTGAACAAAAAGACAACAACCGTAAAAAATATTGCTATGAGTTATAAAAACAAAGAATCAGACTCAGATTTTAAGTAAATACAAAATGTACCTCCTTTTAATATCCACTGTGTCCCTCTGTACTATTTACAATATTTTGAGCTTTGTATCAAATTATCGAGTTCAAAATTTTAAAACAACAGTGCTTACCGAAGTGTTATAGTGAGTTCTATAACTGTTATTATAACAACACAGAAGCTGTTACTCGCATTAAAACTTTTACTTGAGCATACTAATGGCACTTGAGCGTTTAAAGCGTGCCCAGAGCTCACCTTAGAACAGTTCTTAGCATCTTTACTCAGGTGCACATCACTGCCAACTTTATAAAACAAACATTTGCACGGTATTTATAACTTTAGCTAATTGGGTTACATTTGTATATTTATCTACTTAAAACCATAGGAAAAATATTTGCAATTGGCAAGCAAACATTTTAAATAGCTGTTCCTTCAGGTATTACGTTACCGTTGTATCCTTCCCCCTGATTGTTAAGCACCCACAGTGATAATGCACTTGTGACTCTTGAGTTACAGGTGGTCATAGGCGGCGGTAACCGCTTACCATCAGGTAACCGGTCTGCTCGTTTGTCTCCATGTATTATTATATGACAATCAAATCATTAATTACAACAAGTAATAGCGAAAAACTGTTGCAATGATGCAAAAAATTAATGTATTTTGAGCAAGTTTGACGAGGAAAAATTTTCAAATATAAGAAAATAGAACTGAAAATAACTTAAAAAAATGTACACATACATGCCTTGTTGTATGTACGTGGCATTTAATATCAATAAGTAAAGACATTACGCGGTAGGTACCGAGTGGTCTTTACTGCGGCGCGTAAGCTCGTCTTAATTAAAATGCCTAATGAGAGGCGCCGTCCCTCTCTGGACCCACACAATCACCATTACCGGCCTACACCCTCTTCTCCCAAATAAATGTTTTAAGTCAAACCTACTTTCAAATTCCACAAAAACTTGTAGGCTTCAATGTTTAAAAGCATTATTTTGGTAAACATACTCTTACTTACTCAAAGCAACATTTTTATAAAAGTATCCTTAATTCAATAATAATAATATTAAACCTCTTACACACCGCCGTCTAAACTAGCTTAGTTTCAATGCGCTTATGTCATAATGAATTGTTATAAACTGTAGTTAATTTTAGTTCATACTATAGTTAGTAATAGTTAATTAATAGATTAATTTTTCACTCTTAGCGTATTATTTTATCTTCAAATAGATAGGACCAAACCAGTAGTACACCCTCCAAAAATTTTAAAATCTCCTTATTTAAAGCCGGTCAAGAACAAACAGAAATTACCTAATAAGTTTTAATTGAGCACAGTATTGTGGTAATTTAATTTAAAGAGTAAATCCAAGGATAGGTAAAATGCATTTGTAAAGGACACAGGGAAGAGCCAGATTTACCAAAGATCATTTTGACAGTTTTGTCGCTTTTGCACATTTTATCTTGTAGCACGTGAAGAAAGTAAGGATGAAAAACTCATTGAAGATATCATGATTTAAACTTTTTTTTAACCTTTTAAATGCATATCTTTAAATATCTAAAAGCACATTTCATTGGATATAAAATCTAAATTATGTTTTGTTTGGTTACAGGAGAACGGGCGTGCGGTCCCCGTGCTGGTAGTAGTTGCGCTATCGGGGGTTAAAGTATGCGACCCCGACGACCAGGTAAATAAACACCGCCACCGCAGCATAACATAATATTCTTAATTCTTAAAGCCAGAGGTCCCAAACGTTTTAAGTGCACCCTTTTTATTTCATTGTTAGTTATTTAGTTTGTCTGTTTATCACGCTACACTTTAAATACTAAACGAAGCATCGTAAAACAATGCAACAAGACTGCAAGGATGGTGTAGTGGTTTAAGCGGTCACCTCGCCGCTTCCTATTGAGCTGAGTGTTGTGGGTTCGATCCCCATATGGGACAACACTTTGCGTGATCCACCAGTTTTTGTTCAGAGTCTGGGCGTTCTTTCTGTCCGTTTTATGTATGTGTGTAAGGTCCGCCGCAACACAAGTTTTATTCCTAGTGCGGGAGTTGTCTTTTAAACGAAAGAGAAAATGCATACACCGTCCGTCAAAACAACGGCTATAAGAACTTTAGTAGAGAAATAAAAAAGAAGAGACTTATAAAGTTAAAAAATCTACTTGCTATTCTACAAGTTGTATGTTATGTGCAGAGTGTGCGTATGCACCACGCGTTGCGGCGCATCTCGTACGCGACTTGTGAGGCGGCGCGCGCGCTGTTTGCGCTGGTGGCGCGCGAGCCTCGCTCCGAGCCCCCACACCACTATTGCCACGCTTTCCACACCGACACGCCCGAACAGGTCAGTATCAACTGCTTAACAGCCTGCTTGCTAAAACAAATCCCATCATATGGTTTGCCTACTAAATGTGTAGAATAACTGCTAAAACATCGCTATCCAAAGATCGTGTAATCTGGCTATACATTGGAAAATATTAAGGAAACCGTTGCGATAACATTCATTAAAGTAATTATATAACGAGCTCTGCAACGAGAAGTTCAATATCAGTAGTATCAGTTCAAATGTTTTAACTTTTAACGCTTCTAAGGAACCAAAAACTTTGCAAGACACGAAGGTTTAAGTTAACAGAACTAAATTGCCAAAAAATTCTCCAAAACAGTTGTAAGTTGGAAATTTGATCCAATCTTACTATCTTATGATAGTAAGATATCTTACTACTACTACTACTATACTACTACTACTACTATACTACTACTACTACTATATCTTACTATCTTATGATAGTAAGATATAGTAAGTAGTACATATGAAGACTAGGTCAAGGAAGCAGCCAAGCTCTGGAGAAAATGATTGAGTAATTCCATGAATCGTTGAATTATAGCTAGTCATTTAAAGGAGCTTTGGAATTATACTAGCAAAAACATAATATTAATTCATATATTTTTTATGGTATATGCACTCGTAATATGCCTTTGTGCGACATAACCGCTATGTGACAGAAAACATTCAACATTCCAAATGGTCTCTGTTTATACTCAAGAAATACTAATTATATTCACTCTATATGAATTTAATCTTCAATTTAATCTTTATTCTAAGGTGGCCGGTTGACGACATTAGGTTTGCCTAGTATTATGCAACCAGAGCAATATTAGTTTTTTTTTATGGAAGAGGGGGCAAACGAGCACACTGGTCATCTGTCGGGCAATTGAATGACTGTCTACTATTACACATTATATTACAGTGAAGAAATAAAACTTTGTTTGTACCACTTGTATGTACAAGAAATCAGAGTGTTTGTTTTATAAGCGTCTTCGTCGTGGAGTAAAGCACTTAGACTTGCGGTTCAAGTTTATCGCGCAGACAGAGTCCCGCTGTCGTAGAAACTTGCTCCACTCACAGAAGCACTCTTGGAAGGGATCAATTGCGAAGAGTATGGTATGTAGAATTGTGTTAGTAATAGATGTTCTGTTAGAATTCTGATAGGATTAATTTCTGGTCGAGCTGGTCGCTGACTAAATATAAATATATAATATATATATTCTACGACATACACACAACGCCATCTAATCAAAAACTAAGCAGAGCTTGTACTATGGGTACTAGACAACTGATATAAATACATATATCCTTTTTTTTTTTTTAAATACATACATATGATACATAGAAACACATGTAAAAATGTGTCCAGTATTTTCGTATCTCCTAATGATTATATGTAGAAGTTTAGCTAATGTAACTTAAATACTCTTTAAATACAAAAGTTATTGGAAAATAGTTTCAAAATTAAGTTATTTTTATCTTCACGAACATTTTATTTACAGTGAATTCAATGATATTGGTTGACTAGATGTTAACCATGATGATTTGAGTACTATAAGAGACAATTGAATTCAGGTTACTCTAAAATTCTTGTCGTACCAAAAATGTTTTATCAGTGCAATCAGAAGTTCTGCATTAGCTTTTGAAGCGAACCCCAAACAAAATCGTTGCAATTGCTAGATATTTTCAACATATCTACGATTACATTAAGAACACAAATTACACAACTTGATTATCAGCCTATCGCAGTCCACTGGCCATCCCCATTGCACGCCATGGGCCTCTCCCATTGCACGCCACTTCGATCCATTTTCTTCTTCTTCTTGACACAGCTTAATTCCTCAAAATATATTTTTATTTTTGACAAAGGAAATAACCGAATTCATATGCATATTATTGAGAACAAATAACATTGAAGGACTCAATCAGTAATGGCCGTATCGTGAGACGAAGCTGATGCATTCGTCACGATTGGTGTAATAGCGCCGACTCATTCAACATCTGTAAGACTTACTTAATTAACTATGAAGGTCGATAGATTTTGTTGCGTAATCGACTATTGGAGATTTTTTTACAACAGTTACATTATTTTTGCCAAAATACTTGATAGATATAATAAAAGTGTTATCTACACCTAAACTATACAAAACTTGCGAATTGAAATCGAATAGAATACTGTCGCATAGTTAATGCCTTGGTCTATTCTACATAATTGGAAGACACATATTATGATAAGAAACCGAATAACGCGTATGCATTTTATTTCGCCTGAGCTGAAATAAAATCTCCGGCATTATGTTTAATTTCCCAAGTGAGTATTAGGAAGGCACTAAAGTAAACTAAGATTTTCAAGAGCCCAAGAAAAGCGGCTGCCAAATTCGCAATACACTTTTATTGACATTTATCTCGGATTACAGCAACTTTTTATTTATTTATATGAGGTGATTCGTCTCGTCTTATCGCAATCAAGAATGTTGGTAACATGTTTTAAATGTTTTAATCTATCTCTTAGTAGATTAACATCGTTTTTTGTGTATGTTTTAAAAGAAGGTTTTTTCTTATTCAAAAACCTCTACTCACCTAATAAACTCATAAATCATCAGATTCAGTATTAGTTTCTCATCTGAAGCAATGAGCAGAAGTAAACTAATAATATGCATACTCAACGCGGGCGGCACCGTCGGTGCGTAACCAAGCTCACGACCTTGCTCTCAGGACCGCACGAGCATCGCATTCCTGACTACTATCTGCTAAACAGTAAGCAAACTTTGCAGTTCCATTGCACCGCCGCCCACAATTACTATGTTCTATCCATCTGTCACACTCTCTATTCATCTGTCGTAATTGTAATGGACGTAAAAAAGCTCCTGATGAATTACCTACTATTATGCTATGTTAACTTTGTCCCGATTGAAATATGCGCACTGATGATTGCTCGGCAAATGAATAACTATTAACATTGAATGTGTATTGTTCATCCCGCTTCGATCGATTGCAGCCGAGGAACCATTAAATTATCATTAGGGACTTCTGTTTCGCTAAGGTCATCAACCGTTCGTCCGGCTCGCAGAAAAGTTCGATGTCTTATAAAATTAAAAAGAAAACGAGCAATATATACGACACAGGTGCGCAGGCGCTCGCGTTTCCCATTGTGCCTGCGCCACTTACCGTGAAGGCTTTAGTAGAGCTGAGAACAAGTTTGTTAGCATCGTGCGGAGCCTGGCGACTCCGGCGCGCCCGGCTCCGGCCACTCACACACATCAGTCGCGAGACAACCACGGGAATGTGCGCACGCTACTCCGCACCACCTAATATTTGATGACCGCGTGTGATTCGGTGACGTCCTCGTCTGATTGATTGTTTGATCTCTACGTGTCTGTGGTGTTACGTGTCGTGTAGTGAGGTGTGATTGACCCGTACCTACAGCCAGTATATTGTTTGTAACAAATCGTGGGAGTTTTCTCTGGTATGCAACTGTGTGCTTTTGTATAAGTCTCGAGCAGTTCCGAGATAAATTGTTATACGGTTTTCTTTTAATGAGCTTTTATATTGACTTGCAGCTACTTAATCGAATGGATGTAATTTTTAACGTTTAAAAGCTTGTACCATACGATGGCGATCGGCAATGTTTTTATTTCTCTACTGCAAAAAACGCTAGAATAGGATAGCGGGTGGTCTGTGTTCTGTGGCATCACTTTCTACCTGATTTTACAATAACAATCGCTTTTGTGCGTATTGTTTTGCATCTATTGTGCACAATCCTGTTTATTTTTTTTGTAGTTTTTTGTATTGAAACAGAAATCATTATGATAATTATTAGTTTAATGAATTCTCAAGCTTAAAACTCAACTAGTAGTAAAATGCTTGTTATTATTTAAGCAATGTTTATTAACGGACACATAAAATTTAATGACCTAACGAGCTTAGACAAATTATTTTCCAAAGTGGTGCTGTCGGTATTTATATTCCAGTTATAACTTGCGGAAACGGTACGCGGCATTAACCGTCAAACACAACATCGGTGATATTTATTGTTCTGAAGGGCCGTGGGTTCGGAGCTCGCGCTCGTATATTTGTTGTTTTTACGACGCGGTGCCCCCGGCGCGACCGCCCGACGACCGGTGGACGGTTAGTTCAACGTCGTGCTTCTTTCATACTGTTTGCCATTTCTATTTATTTTTACGATTATTTTGACACCTCTATGAGTTACTGTGTTGAGAGGACACTTTCCATAATTAAATATAGCAAATATTACCTACATTTCTCCGAAACTATTATGCCAGGGTTTGTGTTGAGAGCCTGGCATCTGACAGCAATTTAGATATATTAAAGATGCAACAGGTCGCTTCATGTTCATCATTTCACAAAGTCAATTAACATATATTCGTAGCCATACTTGTGTTTTAAAGAAAATTAGATTAACACCCAAAGTCACCACAATAATAAGTTACTTAATCAAAACTAAAGTGATGGTATACTCGTATAGATACATTATCTATTACGTCGATGTCTCATCTGTTTTTAAAATTAAGGTATAAAAAACCTCATTTTTTCGAAATAAAGGAAACATTAAATATTCATCCATCTAAAGCATTCACGTCGAAGTTTCAAAGTGGTCACATCCTGCCCGGTGGTGACAGATTTACACGCATCGACACTTGTCACTGCATTCCACTTTTATTTATCTGGTTCGTTAATATCACACCAGTTTTGAGGGCGCTAATCAATAAACAACGAAATGTAGTTTTTCTTAGTAACGAACTTGTGATAGTGATGAGAAAGTGACGTGACATAGTGTTCAAACACCTAATTTTGTTATCAACTAACTACGGACTAAACATTATATTTTTTTAAAGTTATATTCCAAGTAAATAATAATAATATATCTCACACATCTCACACACGGCCGTCTGATCCCAAACTAGGCAGAGCCTGTACTATGGTAACCAGACTGCTGATAAACATACTTATATATTTTTAAATAGATACATATTATAGATAAATAATTTACACCCAGACACAGAACAAATGACCGTGCTCATCACATAATGTTTGTCCTGGGTGGGTCCAAAACTATGTAAACGGGTCTGTTTTATAAGTTTGTATACATGTTCATAATCCAACGAAAAGAAACTGCACATTTTGCAAAAGGATGTAAAGTTATTTTATTCGCCAAGAATTTTCTTTTTATATAAAAAATAGTATTCCTAGATCCAAACTAAGCAGAGCTCGTATTTACTATATTTTCTAAAATACTGATAAATATACATAGAAGTAGTTATTTATAATAATAATAATAATTTATAAGAGTACACATTGTGCCTAGGAATACCCAAAACCATTCTAAATAAACGTAATTATGTATAATTATGTAGGTATGTATAATAAGTAATTATGTATGTTTAATAATTGCAATGAGCGGCTATTTAATTCTCAGCAGCGTGTAGCGTCTCAGAGCTAACAGTTAGTTATTATTTATCATGATCAGTAGGATAAATAGAATTTATAATTTCACGTACACAAAATAGTTATTGTAAATAAATATCCCTAATATGGTTACATTCTTTAACCCAATAAATAAATTGCAGCCTTTGGCCGTGATTATTATCAAAATGTAATATAATCTTCCAGTTCGGTGGTTAATTAACCGGTAAATACGGTGTAACATCTTACCTTCTTATTTTCGCTGAAATTGTGTTGCTTTAAACTTGTTGTTAAGTGGCAGAGAAAGTTTGATACAGAGCTTGTTTAAGTTAAGCCACGGATGTTTTTCATTCTTAAATTATTAGTAAATAAATACGCTCTCCTTTGATATTCAAAAAAGTTTCTTACGGACATGACTATAACACTGAAATTGTAACCTTGTAACCGTTATGATAAGCTATTTTTAACGATTTTTTTAACAATTTCATTAAGTTCGCTTTTAATGCACACACTTGACAGAATATCATTTTTCTTGTTCAGGTATGAGATTATTTTAAAAACTTCACCGGCACCGTTCAAGTTCGGCGTCGAACAATACTCTGTTCTATAGCTTATGTCCCTAAATCCTCCCTTTCGCTTTATTATCTATGCACCCATCAGAATGAAAAACTTTTTACTGTGGATTTTGGCCTATGACAAAAAAATGATATTATAATAATTAATAATATATCTAATTATGATTTTTTGACCCTCTAAAGGCTAATTTCATTCATTCATTCTCTCTAAATCGCTATGTTACCTTTCGTTACTTTTTATTTTATTTCGCATTCTCTTAAAATTACAACACAAGCTCCGTGACCATTCTTTGACAGAATCATTACAAAGATGCTTTCATTATCTATTTGTATTTATATAGTTTTTACAATTTCCTATTTATACACAATATACCTTATACGATTTTTGTGTAACTACGAGTGTAATACCTCTTCTTCTATATAATTGTTGATTTTGATTTAGTTTTCCACTAGAATTTATTCCGCTAACAATTTTAATTATAATAGAATGACGATTCTAAATAAAAATTCATTACTAATAAATATTCTCAAATCTAGGGCCAATGGATTGTTTCCCAGGAATGTTATCTATCGTTTTAGTTCAGCCGACAGATCGATGAAGATACGGTGGCATTAATTAAAAATTCTACACGAGATGGTTGTTGCCGCGGGACTGCTACAAATTGAATAATGTGTCCGTAGGGAGGACCATAGATAATCGCATTGATACGACTCTCAAACACACACGTGTGAGGCATATTTATACAGTCATCAACGAAAAGCTCTGTAATGTCATGTACTTGGACAACATGATAAAATAGAAATAAAGATCGTCGGTCGATTTTTAATGTCAAACGATTGGGTAAAATGTTACATTGAAATTTATAGTTAATATGTGACCACGATTGGTACAATTCGGTCGAAACGTCAATCTTTTATTTTTTCCCATCAATTTAGTTCCTCATTTCTCATCAATGCAACTACAATGTAAAACAGAGCCGCCTGGCAGGGTACAGCTAGTTAACTACAAAATATGAATTGAAACTGAATAAATATTAAATCCAATAATAAAACTCATAAGCACAATATACTACGATAGAACAAAATATTAACCATTCGTCTATATCTATGGCTCAGAGTACAATTTATTCTAAATGTTGTAGTTGGTGAAAGACTAAACAATAGGTCATAAAGGACATAAACTGTTGTTGATGGTGGCCGCGTCAAGCCGGATGCATGTTACCAGCATGACGGTCCTCACTCATATATTTATATTTAGTAAATGAGAAAACGAATGAGTGTAACATAGAACTGTGTTCGTGTGTAAAGATTACTTGAGAATAATAATTTTTATAAATACTTAACAAAAAAAGTAGAACCGACTTCAAACAATACTGAAAAAGAGCGCTACAAATACAAATAAAATATATATCTCTAAGTAAAAAATCTATAACAAGTACGAGGGTACTAATTATACTTTTTTTACTTAGAGATATACATATATTTTATTCGAGCAGCATCAAGACTGTTGCAGCTGCCGCGCTACATTCTACCAAGCCTGTCAAGCACCTACTTGGCTTGGCACCGACTTCAAACAGACTAGAAAGGACTATTGATATTATAATGTTACCTGTTATATTGAGGTACTTAGTATAGTATTTTTAATTAGATTTGTAATTATTTTTTAATGTTAGTGCTCTTTGTCAGTATTGTTTGAAGTTGGTTCAACATTTTTTTTTAAAGGACTTATTTTACCATTTTTAGTGTAAGATACGTTTGTAATGAGTAGATAAGTACAATATTTAAAACACTACGTACCGTTATGTATAGAACCAAACTGTAGTATGTTAGATTATATTAAATAAAGTTTAAAAAAATCGTTACTTTATTTAGATAAGGTAGTAAGATGTTACATTGTTGTGATGTTACATGTTTAAATTGTTTTCACATTACTTAATTTTCCAAAACTAGGAGTGCTATTTTTTCATCACATTTGAATAGAACTAAAGGGGAAATATGGGTATATTTCAAAGAAAAAAATAATTTTCATAATTAGTTTACTGTAATTAGTTTATTAGTTTGAGGTAACAAACGAATATATTTGTCTAACAAACATTTTTTTTTGTCTAAATGTTTTGTAATCTTATATATGACTCTTTTGTGTACATATCTCTGTGATCCAACACAAACACCTACCAAACATCTTGAAAGAAAAAACAAGGTCAATACATGGCCAGATTTCTTAAAGAGTTATCCTCTAACTCCTGAAGGGCAAGGACCCTTCCATCATCAGCACAACAACATGACATAACTACTACTAAACGCAAATACCTAAAAAGTT